ATTAGAAATATTATTGATCCTAAGGATTTTAATGATATTGAATCAGGTGCTTTATATGGATGTAAAAGCAGTATATGGTCATGCTTACATGATTTCGGCATAGAAGAAGCAATTGACACTGCTAAAAGAGCAATAAAAATGAATCAAGATTGTGCGCTATGGCATTTTATTCTGGGAAAAAATCTTAGACGTAAGAGACGTGCAACAAACGTATCCAGTGATGTATCAGATTCAGAAAAAAATCATTTTGAGATAGCACACGCTATATCTAAAAATCAAATGTTTGAAGTATATTACTTACAAATGTGTATGGAAAGTTTCAAAAAATTTATTAGATCAAGAGATTATGTGATAAAAAAAAATGCTAATGAAAGAGAAGTTATAAGTAAAGCCAAAAAGATGTTAAATACAAATCCTACTGATCATAAAGTGCTATTAAAATTAGCTCTTATATTTCTGCGTACAAGAATTTCAGATGAAAGATATTCAGCAAAAAAGTGTCTTGATGCTGTAAATAAAATAGTGCCAAATAATACCACATATCTACATTATACTGCAATGTTATATGAACAAAGTGGGGATTATAAAGTTAGTACAATAATAGAATCATATACTATTTAAAAAATTTAAAATAATTTTAATTAAATTTTATAAAATTCTGATAATAAATAGGCACATATTAATAATTAAGCTGTTAATGAGTTGTATAATGATATTGGATATTAGTAACATTAATTTTTGATACTCAAATAAATTTTAGTTTGAAAAATATATATAAATATCATCAACATCTGTACGTTATACAACTTATATTTATCTATTAATATATCTCCTTAATTTTTTCAATATCATACCATTTCCTTTTGTATATTTTTAAAAAGTAATTATAGGAAGCTATCAAATTGCATTTTTAGGAAGCAATCAAATATTTCAAAAAAGCCGCTGAATGCAATAACTTAGTAGCAGAATTGTCTTATATACAATATGGTTGGGAAACAGGACAGCTGGAACCACTACCTCATTTATTACGAATGTTGAAAAAATATGATCAGTCAATTAAATCACGACAAATAGCTATGCTTTTAGCGATTGCAATAACATACTATTCTCTTCATGAAGACATACCAAATGCGGCAGAATATTTTTTAAAAGCTCTTGAAATAGATCCGGTGCACAAAAAATTTCAGGTATTTATATATAAAAAATATATATAAAAAACATTTATAATATTTTATGATCTATTATAAATTTTTAAATAATTGAAATCATTGATTATTTTCTATTTTTTAGGTATATTACAAATTTCTAGACTTCAATACTTTGAATATATCATCTTTTTTGAATAATAATTTTTGTCCTTTACTCGAAAAAAAATATCCGGCTCATACAGAAACTTGTAAAAAAATTAAAAATCTCTTAAATGTAAAGGACATAACTGATTTAGTAGAAGAAATGTGTGGATTATCTGTAGAAAAAAAAAAGTTCTAACTTAAATATTAGAACTAACTAATCGACAAGAATTAACTAATAACTAGAATTATTGTGATAGTTTATAATTTCCTAGTAACATTATGCATTTAAAAACAATAATTGAATCAATATCATACTTTAATGGATTTTTAAAAAATAAACGGTTTATAGTTACTATAAACTTCTTAGTAAGTGAGAAAATATTTTCTCGAAAATGTTTAAAAAAATATTTTAAAATTTCGAAGATATCTTTTAGAAGAATATCATTAAGTAATGTTTAATTTGCTATTCTAAAAAAATTAAAAGTGTTTTTTTACTTCTTATTTTACTTTTTATTTTTAATTTCCATAAATATTTCATGTAAGATTAACAAAGAAGTTATTAAAATATTTTATAGTTTTTATATTTTAATGTATCTATGTCTAATTCGTGAAACGGGATGTATGTATACATATGGTATAACATATAAGTTTAATAATATTCCATTATGTTATTTTTCTTATTTTATTTGACAAACAAAAACCGTTTATTTTATATTATTTATTAATCTATAACTTATATTGTTAACATCAAAATTTTTATTATTATTTACTTGATTATTAATATTATTTAATTATATTATATTATATTATATTATATTATATTTCCTTAGACTAAATAACGCTGTTTAGCATAATATATAAAATATTGATTACATTATTAAACTCTATTCAATATTCAATGTACAATATATAAATAAATACATGAGTAATACATATTCACATCTATTCATATCATCGTATTTGTATAATTATGCAGAATGCGAACAGTAAACGTAGTAATATATCTTATGTTTCAATTTATGATATTTTTGAATTTTATTGTAATCAAGGGTAGATTTCAAAATACTTCAAAATATCTTTCGGATCTATTTTTAGAGATCTCACAATTAGACTCTGCGGAAAGATTTCAACAAAAGAATGCGGGTAAAAACGTCTCAAACCACCTGAGTGAGACGCAGTGTGTAAATGAGTTTTGAAAAAACATCGACGGCGCATATTACTTCCGTCAACGACCAATGATATCTCGGACCGCCTGGGAGAAACGCGCGTTCACGCACACAAAATTCAAACGCTGTTGAATCACGATGAACGCTAGCGGCGTACGGGTAAAGATATACGACGGGGAAAAATGTATCCACGAGCACGAAGCTACCCGATCCAACGGGGATGACCTAAAGACGCTGATGCAGAACCTGCGAGACATGCAGTCGAACGTGAACGATTTTTTAACCGTGCTGGTTCAACAGCGAGACGCGTCTGGCGGTGCGCAAAGTAACTCGATCGCACGTAATATTCTGTAAACAATTTCCTTCTTTCACTTTTCGCGAAATTCACTGTTCGATCAATTTGCGCAGAAACGGCGAGTCAATCGATTTCTTCCGATTCGGACTCGATCGAGGAAGACGGGGAAGAAGACGACAAAACGGAGGCAAACGAGACGCAGACTAACCCCAAAAAATGCAAGTTATCCATTTGAATTTTCGTGTATTCCGTTAATAAACGTTATGCTGCTGATATTCTAATGAGGCATTTAATTATTGTTTCATGGACACGTTCCCACATTCCGCTTGTGTTCTAGAGCGCGGCATTTTTATCGGATCCGCCGTGCTCCGTGATGACAGATGGCTAGAACGCGATAACACTCGTTCCTCTACGCGAGATCGATAGCCGTTAAACGACGACGGACGTAGCGGCGGACGCAGCCTGCCAAGGTCGAAGCACAACCTGGTAATTCACCGTTGCACGCGTTAGGATGATTATTTCCATTCGTGCGGGCTGCTCACCTTGCGAATCTAACTGCATTTCTATCGCGAGACTGGCGAACGTAACCTAGAAATTTTTTTCCACCGTTACACACTGCTTCTATTCGCATGTCTCTTCGCGATAAATGCTGCCGTCTCCCTGATCTGTCTAATCGTGACAATAAGAAAAGATGAACAGCTGACAATGTTTAATTCGCAGTGAATGACGTATGCAACACACACATACATAAAATTCAACATATGTGTATGTAAATATACAGCCAAGTGCCGGGAATAGATTTTATAGCGTGGTGTTGTAAATTTTTTCTTGATAGATTTTGTATAGAATTTGGCATGTAATGCTGCTGACAGAACACCGGCAGAAGTATATCAAAATTTATTAACAAAATATAATAAAATCAAACTTCAATGTAACTTGCTAACAAAATTTGTAGCAGTTTATAAAACATTTTTAACAGATTTGATTCTGTAGACGCGAACATTATGTAAATATAGCGAATATAATTGTTCCGCTAAATATTCTTGCTATCTTTTGACGTCAAAAACAAATTTTACATATTCTTTTTTTATTGTTAAAATTAATAATTGTAAAACACAATCATAATGAAATAGTTGACTTGAATCTTTGTTTTTCAAGCTGGAACATGTCTACTACATTGTCAAACGAAGCTCAACTACGTTACATGATAGAATGGTTTCAAGAATGGTCCGAAATGCAGCGGAATGATTTTTTGAGTGTGTTGTTGGAGAATTGTGGTCCTTCAGGGCTTGTGAATGGACTAGTCGCTGGAATGGAAAAGTTGGGTTGTGAAGGATCTGATAGACCACCAAGCTTGTTTCAGTGTCGCGTTAAGCTCTTTAGAGAGTGGAGTAGCAATTGGTCACAACGTGAAAAAGATTCTTTGTTAACAGCTATTAAGAATACAGATAGTAAGTTTGCTGAAAAGTATGAAGAAAGATTATCAGCATTGGCAGAAGATAAACAGTAACAAGCAAGCATCTCATATTTTACAACTTATTCCATAGACATAGCATTTCTAGTTTCTTTTTAAATTATGACAAATTTGGGGCAAGTTTATCTTTTTATATTTATATATTTATTTCTTATATATACACACACACACACACACACACACACAAGTTATTTAACTTGAAAGTGTCATAAATAAAATTTTGATGTTGATAATCACATATCAAATTATCTCCACTATTTTATACATTCTTTGTTACTAAAATATAGTTTGTGCCACTTTCAAGATTAAAAAATTCTTTCTAATTTTAATTGACATAAAATATTTTTAAAAATTTTCAATTACTATGAAATAGATACATGTTAAAACTAATAAATTGAAATTGCTTAAAGTAAAAAGTAAATGTATAAATATTTCTAAAAATTTTGTTTTCCCATTTTTATTGATGTGGAAAATGTAGCTCTTTTATTATATACATTCCTTTATCTTTGCATTTCATATGTTTAATATTTCATCTAAACATTGTCATTACGGTCAAGTCTTATCTATATTATATATTATATATAACTAAAGTTATGAAACTTTATATGCGTATATATGTATAACATAATGATAATGGCTGTAAAAATTTGATATGAATTATGAATTACTTTAGATTTAAGAAAAATTTATAATTAATTTTCTTAGAAAAATTAGCAAATATTGTATAATTTTCAATAATGACTAGTAATAATTATAGTTTTAAAAACTTTTAATAAAATGAAAATGATGTGATTCTCTTATAGAAAATCCTATTTGTGACATTTACAAACTTCAATTCTATTGTATTTTTTATGAGCTTAATAAACTTTAATTTTTAGATATAAGAATGAAAACAAATCTTTTCTATGATTTTAAAATTGTAAAAAAATACAAGGTATATGTTCTTATAATCTATAGAAATTTACAAATATATATAGGATCTTTTGTAATGGATGCAAAAAATTTTATATTGTATTGCAATAAATACATTACTTTTTAAATATCATTTTTATTATATTAATATATTTCATTTTATAATATATTATTTATCTATTTCAGTCTTACAATTATCTTAAAATTATATTAGATATTAAAAGAGATGTTTAGTACTCAAAAATAATCTAATAATAATTATGAGATTCAGTAATAAAATGTAATCTTGTCATTGATAGAAACAATTTTTGTTTTAATATAAATAACTTCATTTTTTATAAATTTATGACTTTTATATAAATCCATTTTTCTATTTATGTTATACATAAACATAAAGTAAAATCGCTAAAAAATGAATGCTTTATAAGATTTTACATATCCAAAAATATTTGACCAATATATTCTGATAAAATATCATGTCTTGTATTTATTTTGTTATGATTTGTTATCAAAATAAAATAGTCATTTTTATTTCTGATTAACTTTTATATTAATCAAATTTTAATGAATATCAGCTTTCTAAAATCTTGAAAATTCTTTTTAAACATTACATATTATTTTAATCTTGATCTTTTTCAAATCACCATCTGAATGCTTATCCTTTTGGTTCTTGTTGCAACCACTTTAAGCATATCGCTTTAATTGCATTTTGACCAAGTCTATCCGATTCTTTTAAAATTCTCCTTATATCTTGTGCTCTAGAATGCTTAACTGCAAGCAGATATGCAGCCTTCAATTGTTTGCTTTCAATGTATGCATTTATCTGGAAAAAATAGTATTGTGAGCAACATGAAATAGTACATTAGAAATTTCTTTTGAATTTCTAAAAAATTATCTATAACCACAGTGATATATATATATATATATATATATATATATATATATATATATTGATCTACTTGAAATGAATCTTACTCTAAGTTCTGTATCGATTATCAATCTGATTAAAATATCTATATGATTTTTGAGTGTCGGATTCTGTTCGCTATACGAATGAGTCAATAATAATTTCACACAATGTGTCAAAACATGATCAGAGATGACATGTGCATTGGGTGCTCCAGAGCTGCGACAACATTTGATCAATTGCTCAATTGCGGCTGTGTTATTTTTCAAAGCCAATACATGACCAGCTAAAGAATATACTTTCTGTTGAGGAAGATTATAATCTGTAAAAATAATACATTGACAAATACTGATTTATCTGTAGCAACATATATTATGTGTTACATATAAGCTTGTTGCATTTGTATATTATTTTATTAATTTAAAAATTATGTATGCGCGAAAAAATGAATAATTATTCTATTTCTAACCAACCTTGCATTATCCTGAAAGCTATGCCGAATCCTTCCCCAATATCACGACCACACAATATAGCTAGAACAGCTAAATGTATCTTCTGTTGTTGATTACCAAATAACGTAGGCAACTGAAACGTCTGAGAGTTATCGCTATCAATATCTGGGAAAAGGTTTAAAAAATCAGTCGAGACTCTTTCTTCTTTTTCACAATTTGCTAAAAATTTGACAATTTCTATCTGTCTACATATAGTGTTAATATGTCTGTCTATTTCTGAAGGTTCCATCTCCATTGCCAAGGTACTTTGGCTGCTATGACCGGAATTTATGCTTTTTCTTCTTTTAGTCAAATTTTCCATTTGCAGTTCCGATTCTAGATGTTTTTGTGCATCTCGTAATAAATGTGCTTTGTTATGCAAATCTGAATAAGTGTTCGTCTCGTTAATATAAAAACGGATACACGTCATCGACGCTCTTATACAATCTTTCATGAAGAGCTGTATCTGATATAAAATGTACCAGTATTGCTTCCTTTCCATAAAGTGGCAAACATATATCAAATACTTTCTCCAAATAACTAAAGTGGGATCTTTCGTTCTCATCGCATCGTGAAGTTTCTCGGTGTAACCGTTCTTTAAACAATAGAGGTAAACTCCGTTAAGAAACAAATCGCACTCTACATCGTTTTCTAAGATATATACTAGACATTTATCAAACTCTTGATGTTTCAGAAAGAACTGTAAAATAGAGGAATAACTTCCATATGCCAATAGATAATATATACTTTCTTGATAATAAACTGTTTGATTAGCGGGTATCAGATATTTAACAATAAACTGATTTTGGCTGATGGCCTTTAGACTGTTGAGTGTCTGTAAGATTTCTTGCGCTGTGTCAGATTTTAATTGTGACGGATGCTGCGTTCGAGATCGATGTATGCTCAAATTATCTAATATTTGCAGGATTTCTGTGAGTAACGGCGGATCTTTCAATGGCCGGTACTTGGAATATTCAGTTCTCTTCGAGTGACCGATTCTGCAGGTTCTCTTCTCTTGATCAGATATTTTATTTTTTTTCAGTGCGGACGTCATTGTTTCCGTTAATTCTCTCTTGGGACTCTCGACTGATTCTTTAGGATAAGATAATACAACCCAATCGTCAAGGTCTTCGTGATCGACAATTTTATCGAGGCAATGGTGAAACTTTTCTCTTGCCTGTTTCAAATATCCCACTTTTAAACAAGCTTTTCCCCATGCAGCCCATACGCCCTGTGTGTCCAATCCTGCCTTCGTACTGACATCCAATGCCAATGTCCATTGCTCCTTTTCAGTGAGGAGATCACGCAGCTTCCTCAACGTGTGCTCGTCGAGATCGTCTGTCGGTATGAGAGTCACGCAATCGGACTGAATTAGAATCGCAATCAGATCCACTTGCGATAAGAATCGATCGCAGTGTGCGAGGCCAGTGTTGAATCCAAATTTCGCACACTTCATCTTAGCCGCGATTAACAAAGAACGTATCATCTTGATGATTACCGCGTGATCAACTTCGGGGTTTATCTTACCTCCGCTAACAGGTTGAAGCAATTGCTTCATTTCATCGCAACGGTCCAATAAAAAGCTGTGCGATAAAATAAAAAAATATTTAATATAAAATATTTAACATTTTGATTATTTTCGAATCATCGTACATCCCTCTTCTTAAAAGAAATGTATTACCTTGTATACATCTTAGGATCCAAGTGCAAATTAAGAATGGCGAGACAGAGCGAAATATTAGGCGCATATTCGAACGAAAACTCTTCTCTTATAGTGCGATTGTGCTTTTCGTCTCTTGTCAATCGCCAATAATCAAAAACCTCACTGCTGGTTGTTGACGGAGCATTTTGCGCCGCACGCATTTGCAATACTGTTTGACGTTTACAATCATCGCATACACGTACTAGCACGGAATTGGGATAACCGGCAACCTGCATGCGATGCTGAGAACATGTGGCGCAAACAACACGGCCGCATCGCCGACAGTGATGTCGTCTATTGAACATCGAAAATATTACGACTTTGCAACAACCGCATTCTCTTGCCTATTAAATAAATAACAATTTCATTATACAAATACACAATGAAAGATATGCTTAATAAAATTAAAATCAGGCATTTTTGTAGTTTGAATATTATTTTAAAGAAAGCATGCAAACTTGAAAAAAAATCTACGTTAGTTGTAATATTATAATCGAATGTTTTCAAATTACCCTATCGTTAGGAATCCATTCTTCTTTAGTAGGTACATTAACAGGCATAACAAATTCATTATTTTCTATCTCAGGATTAGATTGCGGAATATTTTTAATTCTATTCTCGACACCATCACGTTGGAACGATACACGGAAGTCTAACGACTTTTTAGCGTAAAATCTTATAACTCTGTCAAACTTGCTAATGTCTATATCGGGATGTTGTAAATCGTCGTGTAAGGTATCTAAAATCTTTTGAATATTTTCAAATTTACAATTCATTAATAATTGTTCCAGTATCAATAATGGTTCTTTTATCAAATGAATGTATAAAGCTCTATCTTTATTTTCCAACATTTTCAAAATTTCTAGTCCCACTAAAGTTTTCCGATACTTGGGTTGTTCCACTGCCTTGCAGTGATCTAATAAATAGTTGGCGACAAACTGCAGCGCGTTGGCAGATTCTAATTTTTTCAGAACTCCCTTACATATCTTCATTGACTGACTTGACGATAACGCTTGAAGAAACTAAAATATTACAGAATCATTAATAAAAGTTTTCAAAAACGGTTTAATTATGATGCTTACAACTGAATTTTTGTTTATACCTTTAGAGCTTGTTTGAAATTTTGTTGTTCATTTTTCAAAAGGCCTATTAGAAAGTCTTGCATCACGGGAGTTTGCATTTCCAGAGAAAACGCTTGACATCCCAACCATTCTAAACACAACTCGAATTGATCCGCGTCAATCAAAGACTTCATAATTTCAAACGGATCGATCCTCTCTGTGCAATATACGATGTCATACCACGTACTGTTCGATCTACTCATGCAGTATGGGATCATTTTATGAAAGATCGTTATTCTACACAAGATGCCGTTCATCCGGTGCTTGCAATGCGCCGGCAATTTGTAACTATACTCGTGTTGCAACGCGTGAATCAATGCGTGCTCGCATAGAATCATAGGCCATTTGTTGACGTTGTGTAATATCGTTTGCGCCAATATGTATATATCTTTGATTTGATATAAATACTGCAGCATTTTTGTAATAGAAAGAACACCCAGATTGGAGAGCGCGTGACTTAAAAGCAAATCCTTAAAACGCTGCAACTCTGTATTATATTTCATGACATTGTCAGACAGTGCGTTTAATATCTCCAAAGAATTCTGCCAATTACGATCTTCGCCAAGTTCGAAATAACACCATAATTCGTGCATAGGTACGTTATCGTAAATAGCGGCAAGAGTTTGATTATTATTAAACAACGACTTCAGTTTGTAGACCCACGGGGAATTTAAGAGATTCTCAAGACATGCGGTACGTTTTATATTATCGTAACTATTTTCCAAAATAGTCGGATTTTCGTTATGCATTCTCTGTATAAGATAAGAGAGGAGCCAACAATGTCCTTCGAGATATTGCAATAAACTAGGCCTTAGTATCTGAGTTTGCCAGAGAGATGTTTCCGTAGTATCTGTGGTTGTGACGCTAGACAAATTATGCTTAGAATATTTTAATATCACCTCATATGTATAATTGGACGCAATATATTTTATATCTGTACTGTCGTTTAAGTTTTCGAAACCTTCTATTGGGAGCAAATTCTCATTAGCGTTCGTCGTCCTGATATCAGTATTTCGTGAAACTATGTTTTGATATTGCCGCACGATATCGGGTAAACTGATTTTTCGTCTTGATTCATCTATGAATTCGTTATCGGACGATGCCAATGAGTAATATGTAATATAATTGCGAGCCGCATCGTTCAATGCATCATTCAATGTCTGCGTCTCGTACACCTACAATGTGAGCAACATTGGTCATGTCTATTCCGTTTATCATAATGAATAATTAATCGACTGTTAGCTTACACGAATTTCAGGCGTGCCGTAAAATTCATTAGCCATCGCGAAGATAATTTTGGGATTTTGCACGAGATCTAAATCCTGCCATGCCAATTCGTTGAGCTCCTCCACTCGTGTGAAGAATTTAAAGTCATTTGCGAGGCTACCCAGTAATTTTGATCGGAGAGCGGCAAGTGTCACTAGGCCTAGATCACCAATCATGTAACCAATCGACATTAAGGAAATGGTGTGCCTTAAATTTTTGATGGGCAGATCCTTGGACCACACATCCAAACTCGCATGAAGGAACATGATGTTCCAAACGTTCAAGAAAAATGTCAATGTTTCATCTCCTACAGATAATTCACTGAGATCGAGACTAGCAAGACTCGCTGTTTTACTTAGCACCGTCCGTACGTCTATATGATCAGAAATGCTTCTTAAATATAAGTTATCTAAATGAGATCGTCCCGAACTTATATTGTACAGAACTTGCAGGAGCTCTGTCAATATTTCTGAGACGCATTGATTCGGTCCTTTAATTGTAACATTTTTTACGTTCTGCAAAAGACGATATTCCATTATTACGCTATATCATATATACTTAGTAAAAAATTTTATATTCATAAATTTCATACCGATTCTTCTCGATTTTGATTCAGTATAACGCATTCAGAACCCTTAATACTATTGCAGTTTCTTTCGGTATAACAAGAAATACTAGGACATGCATTTACAAGGATGCTGTATATTAAATTCACTTGCAAACTAGAAGCAATCCTTTCGAGCTTATCTGGTTCTACCATCAAATCGAATATCTGATATCCAAAATAATGATGCAACGGTGTCTTTAATAAATCAGACACTGTCTGTACATTACTGTCATCTAAAAACAAAATAGTAAATTAGTACAATTCATAAATTTAATAAACAAATTTATTTTAATACCTGGAATAATAGTGGATACAAGCTGTAGATGAGAATAGATATTATAAAGATATTTCTCGTTATTAAAAATATTAGACATTTTTTCTATCATTTCCAATCCTAAAACATAATTATCATTACAAGAACGCGTTTCGGTCTCCGTTCTCTCAAGATCGTAAAACACGCGATAATTATTCTCAAATTCGCTCCAAACGGCAATGTTCTCTCTCCATTCCTTTATGTATAATGGAATTTTGGCATCACACAGTATAGTTGTCACCGATGCATTCTTATTTTCGTAAAACAATTGATAGATCTTCGAGAAGAAACTCGCATGTCCCGTGCCGTCAAACGTCTTGCAGAGTTTCAGATATTTCATGGCTACGTTGCATAGATTATTCGAGATTTGATGCGTTTGACTTATAGTCAGACTTAGATCTAGCACGCTAAGAGTTAACAGTTCGTTGCTAGGCAGAATATCCGTATCTAACATTCGTAAATGTACTTGTTGAGATGCCAGAAATGTTTCAAGTTGATTGATGTGCCTAGAAGATTGTACACCTTCCTGCGCAGCGAGTTTTATATTCTGCAAACATATTTACATCCAATATTGGTACGGTAAAATTTACATTACGAATTATGAATATTTACCTCTAATGTAGAAGTCGCTGAGCTTTCTTTAAAATAATCTGTCGTGTCTAAGGTATAAAGGTGTTTAAATAAATCCCGTTTAAATAAGCGAAGCGCTTCTGAAAATCGAATCTCGCCATCTAATCGTGTATTTTCCATAGAGAACATCTAGGGAATAGAATATATTTCTGAATAACGTCAGAAAAAGTTAATTTAAGATGTTGTATCAAAAGACAGCTATGTTTCTATTAATAATTCAAATTCATATCTCACAAACATTTTCGCACGCAGTTAAGTATTTAAGGTAAACTTTTTTCTTATAATTCAAATTACAATATCGATTAAAATTGTAATCGCTATTTATTGTAGATCGATATGCGTGACACGAAAGTTTTTGAAATCGCGCTAGATGATATGAATTATAACGAGGAAAGCGAAAATGAGATGATTCAGCCAGAGGACCTTGCGGATTTGAAGCCTCTTGCAGAAGACGAAGACAAATACAGATCATTACATTCTCATGTAAAACATTATAATGAACGTAACAGCGAAAACAAGAAACAGTATTCAGATATTTTGCCCTATTTGCAACCACACGCGAAAGAGATATTCAATTTAGAACAAGAAAATAAACCATTTATTGCTGGTTTTAAAGACGAATTGGACGAAGTGAGTATCTTATCTAAAAGAGGAAAGAATTAGCGATGTTCCTTACTAAATAAATAAATAAATATATTAAATTTCATTTTTTGTAATTGTTTTCAAACCAGTATTTCAAAACTATGAAGCAGATAACTACTCATGTAACATCAATTAAAAGAATTAACTATATTGGTTCTAATAAGAAAAAGAAAAATGTATGGAATTTTGAAAAATTACAGAATCAGAGAAAGAAGACAATAAATATTGCTACAGGTATTGATAATTATAATAAATCATTTTAGTATAAATATAGCATTTAGTATAAATATTAATATTAATCAATATAGAGGAAAATGTTTATAAAAAATGTTTTTCCATCAATAATTCTCAAATAAATAGACAAAAGTATAAAAAGCGGTAGAATAAAGCACGAAGAAATAAATAACCATTATGGAACGACGATAAACGAAGAGATAGATTTTCTCCAACCGATAAGAGACAGAAATATTACAGTCGACGAGACAACGAAATACTTTGCAAAAATGCAAGAGACATATACGCGATACAATTTGTACGAATACGATCAAGAAAATACAAACGAAGGAATAAAAAGTATTTTGGATCAGTCGACTTCGGAAATATCTACTCTTGCAGGTAATGATCTTTACGAAGAACCATACGATTATAAGAAATTCAAAATGGAATATGAACAGCAGCTGGAATACGATATAAAATATAAGAAGGTATTGAATTATACTGAAAAAGAAGAATCGGAGGATGTACCAAAGAAAGCGTTAAAAAGAATAATAGGTATGAAACGACCTAAGAATTGTACGGCGGAAGAATTACGCCAGATTGGAATTAATGCGATAGGATGCCTTTTATACGATTTTCAACACACAAAAGACATGATGACTATGAAGAAGATTCTCTTGAGAACATGGTTAGTTTTAAGAGTTTGGTTATTGATTTACATTTGTCTGGCAATTCCCTGTTGGTGTCAAAGAGGTAATTTCAATTCAACATTTATTTATTCTTGCATCTTTTCTTGGAGAGGATTATTATTACATGCATGTAACGTTTCAGGTTGGTGTTGCTGTTGTTTTCGTTGTAAATTTTGTTTTCCGCGTAAAAGGATTATATCTATCAAACGATATTATGTGATGAATCCACCAGGTACTTTCATAAAGGATTTAAAAAAAGAGAAATATGTGAAGGAGCCTATTAAATATGAACCTACTGAAAGTGAACGTGATGTATATGAAACATTTGAGGCCGCAATAAAAAATATATGAATATTAACATGTTCGCCGACCTCCATATAATCCAGAACAAATCAAACTTAAGTATCTATTGGCTTACATATTGCTCAGAAGTCTTTTAATATAAAAATAAAAACATACCTCTGGACGAATGAGAAATGTGTTTACATCTTCAAATAATGAATGAGTTAACATTTGTTAAATTAGTATTCAGAAATAGTTATATCTAATTATACCATAATAATTTATCATAACTTGTTTGTGAAGATAGGTTTGTTCAACTTAGATCTCTCATTTGCACAGATAGCAGACATAAAAGACATACATATGATATATGTATTATTTGTATAAAGCATTACCTTAATTACTTCTTGCGCTTTCTGAAAATCGCCTTTCCATAAACAATGCAAAATTAGGTTTTCTTTCGAAGCCAGCATTAAATTTATCAAGGATAATTTATCTTTCGTTGTTAAACAATCTGCCATTGCTGTAGCACTCTTTAAACGTTTTCTGCGTTTATTGCTACCCAATAAGCTGGATTCCGAGCTACTGTCAGATTTAACTTTAGTTTCATCCGAGGCGCTATCCCTTTTATAAAAAAGTATATCTTCTTTGATGTGATGTGGAAAACTTAATTTTGGAGAGATTACAAATTCTGATTTATTTATAACGGTGGAATTATCAGATTCATCTCCTGGAACACCAACGTCTTCAATAAAATAAGGTCCCATATAAAATTTTAATCTCCATCGAGTGTCTATTAGAGTTGATGTAAAGGTAGATATATCTTCATGAAGTTTTTGCATTTCTTCGTGCAACCCGAGTACTCGCAATTTATTGATTTCTTCTGTTGTAATCACAGTACTCTTCCATAAATAATATAGTGTGTCTCTTACAGCATATTTATCAGCTATAAAGCCTGACTTTTCATATTCTATCAATTTACGAATATTGTAATCATCATCTTTGGAACTAGCGTTTGTAATATTGAAATCTTCATAGCGCAAAAACAACAAGGAAAATATATTTTCCATCGTTTCTATCCTTAACGATAAAGGTAACAGAGAGGATAAATGTGATACCATTTCTGTGAAATATTTAATAATCTGTTCATACTCTGTGTTATAAAATTCACATAAAAGAATAGCTTTTAAAGCATTTATTATGCAGCAATATGCTTGAAAGATCCCAGATTCACTCACAGAAGTCTCTTTCAGTAAATTTTGGATGGTACTGTGATCTTGATCATGTATATTTATTGTGAGTTTCAAGATGGAAAGTACATTGTGTTTTTGTAAAAGAGACAGAATCTGTTTCACAGATATTATTTGTTCAATCGAGTCGATTTGTGAATTTTTTAATTTTTCAGTATCTAATTTCGTTTTTATAAAGTGATTTTTTTTCCATTGTAAAATATATTCTATAATTCTGATATGGCTTTTTAAGAGTGTATATAATTTGTTTAAATCACAATCGTTGTATAGATTAAAGCAACATTTTTCTAGAAAGAAATTGATGGATTCGCAGATAAAAATGCTACTATCACAATTTTCAAGAAAATTAATTTCCTCATGTGGACAATCATTTAATATTTTGAACAATAACACAGGATATAATCTCTTTAATAAGTCACATGATAACAACAATTCAACTTCGCTGTATTTTTTTTCTATAGTCAATGTATAACATATATCCTGTAAGAATTCATTATAATAAAGTACAAATATAAATATATATCTCATTTATTGGTCTGTTATTTTTTTTTAGTTAAAATTTTTAAAGTTAAAAAAGCTTGAAAGATAAAACTTACCAAAATATCATTTAACCAATGCAATTTCCTTGTACTTATTCTTTTAAGTAGTTGTTGTTTACATAATATAATTCGAGAATTTTTTGTTAACTTAAATATGCTCTCACTGATTTTATATGCGGTGAGTAAATTAGTCACGCTTTCAGAACACGCATGCATTTTATTCCAAAATGAAAGCCACTTGCTTAACAGTTTGTTATCTTTTCTTGAATACAATGCAAATTCAATATCTTTAATATGATATGATTTTGACAGTGTAGGACATATCGTTTTTAAAAATTCCATTTCTGCATCTGCGCCTATATCCATTTTTGACAAAAGACATAGAACAACTTGTAAAGAATTGTTATGAATAGTTGAATCAGCTTCGAAGGAATTAATTGCTTCATGATTTAAATACCAAGTCCTTCTGACTGGTGTGTGTTCTAGACATGATTTCAATGCATCAAAACAAACATTTTGCAAGTCATTAACAATATCATATGCATTTGGCACTATAGATATTAATTTATTTATAATCCAACAAACAATTTCTGTATTAATATATATATTTTCTTTTAGGAATGTAAGAATCTGTTTAAATGTAGTAGTCGAAGTATATTTTACGCTATGTTCTGCATTGCTTATGTCTCGAAGAAAAAATAATCCCTGAAAATTGAAATTCTTATTTTTAAGGACAACTAATATAAAAAACACAGAAGCAAATTTTATAAATAGAAATACCTTATATAAATAGTCTGGTACATTACCACATAACTCTATTGCATTTTTTATTTGTATACAATTGAGTTGCGTTTGAATATTGCACTGAATTTCGGAATGAATATTGGATGATTTGCTGTCTATGAGTTTTGATAGCAATATATAGGCGATCCATTGATATTGCTCTTCACTTGGAGAATGTCTACAAATATACATATACATCGTAAAATAAAAAAACATATTATAAATGATAAATGAAGTTCACTCACGTTAAACTTTCAATTATAGCTTCCAATTCTGGCAAGTCGACACAGCAATTGTGATGGAATTCCTTCAAGAAGTTGCTATCATTGTTTATGTGAAAGATATTTAGAGACGTGTACCATAATCGAGATGAAATACATTTGTTCAATTCCATTCTTGTTTGTTTCGACATTGTTCCTTTCAGAATATATTGTATATGACATATCGAACTTAATGCTTCATTTTATTTCATTTTTCTCATTTTTTTCTTTAGCCATGCTGTTTTTTATAAGATCCAACAACGTTATTTATTATCACGTTTGCAAAATGTAGAGAGAAAAAAAATAAATGTATAAAATACAGTTAAACACAATGCTGTATCGTAGAAAGCCTTATCAAACTTTTCCTGATATTCGAACATAACCTATCTTTTGCTTGTGTTTTTTGGTTATAAACAGCAGGACGCATGTAAAGAATTATTTTTTAAGTGTTGATCTAATTTCGCAATAAAAAGAGCGATGGGAAAAAAGGATAAGAAAAAAATAAGAACAAAATAAGTGGCCAGGAAAAAACTGCCCTGAAAACCGAAAAGAAGCTCAATGCTAAGCAAAAGAAAGAATTAGCGGCACTTGGTGAGGTTAGATTTTCTTTCTCATACCAGAGTATCTTGAAATATATACTGCAACGTTTAAAGATTAATAGAAACTGATTTTAAATGTGTTTTTTAATATGTTTTTTTTATTTTTTATTTTTATTTTCCTTGATTGATTTTATTTTCCTTGATCCTTGATTTGTTCTGACCATTGATTTTCATTTCTTAAATTTTCTGTATAAGTCATTTTATCAAAGTTTAAAATAAGGCATATCGAACATATAATTATAGATTTAATTTACATTTTATTTCAATTATATGTGAAGGATATGTAATTGTTTATAGTTAATACTACATTTTACATGTATACAGGATGACATAGAAAAAGTTGTTGCTGAAATTGAAAGAGAAGAAGCTCGCAGACAATGTGTTAAGGAAGTGGTAGTGGATGCGCCGCTTAGACGAGTCAACTTTACTCTGACGGCGCATCCCTTTAAGGATGAACTTATCATGTTTGGTGGCGAATTTCATGATGGTCGACAAGTAAATATATCATGAAAAAATCAATTTTAAAATCAAAACTATTGTTTATTGTTTGAGCATTTGAATTTAATTATAAAACTAGATAATAACCAAAGGCATATCTTATATACATATATATGCATACATAAATACAGAAGAAAATATAATTGAATAATATAAAAAGAAATTATTGATTTTAGGCAATAAATCAAATGCTAGAAATTAATCAATCTAATGGAATTTATTTTACTCTCTTTAGACGATCATATATGGTGACATGTTTATTTACAATATAAATAAGCGAGAATGGATATTAGTGAAAGCACCAGGAGCACCACCACCACGTTGTGGCCACCAAACTGTCGCCACAATGGCAAATCGCGGTGGTGAGTTGTGGATATTTGGTGGCGAATTCACCAGTCCAAGCGAGTCACAATTCTATCACTATCGAGACTTATGGGTGTTTCGATTTGCCGATAAAAAATGGGAAAAAATTACGTGCGTTTAGAAAAAGAATTAAAATAACAACTGCAATGAATAAATAAAAGATTGATATAGATACATACTCTATATATCACATATATATAATGTATCTATGATTCTAGGGCTCCAAACGGACCATCAGCTAGAAGCGGACATAGAATGATACATATAAAGAAACAGTTAATCGTGTTTGGTGGATTTCATGATAATCTACGATGCGACTACAAATATTTCAACGACGTTCATATTTTTTGTCTAGAAACTTACACATGGCGAAAGATTCAGCCTGCTGGTAAGAGAACAAACGAGTAAACAATCCGTTAAATATACTTTTACGGACAATTTTTGTTTAAATTAATCAAAAATTAAATGTGAAAATAAGTCTGATCTGATGTTATCAAGATTAAATTAATTAATTGTAATTTAAGTAAGTACTGATAATCAGAACAATTTTTTTTTCTTTGAGAGGTATTGCACCGGCTCCTCGATCAGGCTGTATGTTGTTGCCAAATACAGACAATAAAATTGTCGTATATGGCGGTTATAGCAAAGAAAAGATAAAGAAGGATCTAGATCGAGGTTGCATTCATGATGACATGTTCCTCCTTACGCAAGATAAAAATGATTCAACCAAATATAAATGGGTTTGTGTAAAACAAACTGGAAATCGAATGAGTCCGAGATGTGGTGCTTCCGCCGTATTAATTCAGCCCACTGCCAATCAAGCCTTTGTCTTTGGTGGTGTTTATGACACTAACAATGATGATGAAGAGGAAGACTTGCATGGAACATTTTATAATGATCTATTTGCATTGGATTTAGAAAAATTCCATTGGCGCATTATAACGTTAACTGGAAAAAAAGAAACTACTTCTGACGACATTGAAGGACCGCGAAAAAGGAGAAGAAAACAGAAAGAGGAAAATAATGATCAAGAACAGAGTAATGATGAAGATGAGGAAGTAATAGAGAATCTTTCAAATTCCATACAATCTACAGTTACTGTAGATGATGATGGAATATTCACGGTATTCTTTTTTTTTCTTAATTTTTAATCCTTTCTTTTAATAGTATGTGAATATAATTTTAAATCGTGAATAATTTTGTGAATCATATAAACAATCATATGTATATGTAGGTAACGGTAGGTCCGGCGGGATCATCTACAATTTTATCACCTCTTCAATCTATCTCAACGGCAACATGTGATAAAGAGACAAAATTTGTTCCATTACCGCGAATAAATGCCGGATTAGCGGTAAAGAACAATATTTTATACATGTACGGCGGTGTAATGGAAGAAAATGATCGACAATATACATTTTCTGATTTCTACAGTTTAGGTATGTTCTTGAATTATGTCTATTGAATTAAAAATTAATTTTAAAGCCCCTGAGTAGTCACCGCGGCCATTGGAATCGTGACATTAGGCAAGAAATGACAGTAAAAT